CCAATAGCTTGGAGCAAACAGCGGTGTGCATATCATCATTTTTGATGAGATTGATGCAATCTGCAAGCAGAGAGGAAGCATGGCGGGTAGCACTGGAGTCCATGATACTGTTGTAAACCAGTTGCTGTCTAAAATTGATGGAGTAGAGCAGCTCAATAACATCCTCGTGATTGGTATGATGGTGCTTACTTTCTCTGTTATGGGGTCTGGTTGAAAACTGCTGATATTTTGCTCTCTGCAGGTCAACTAAGTTATCATTACTGGTATGGGATCTGTTTGGACTAATCCAAACTGAATGACCGCTATTTAACAAGCATCAGTAGCAGATTTAAAGGGAGATGGTGCTGTAACGGGGTGATATTGCCACTTTCAACAATTTCCTCCTTTAGCTGTTGATAACAACCGTTTCATAGTTTAAGGAAACTTGCAAGGGATGATATGCATTGATGTTTTGGCATATGAAGGATTGGGGCTTCTCTAGCTGTGTTGTCTAGTTGTTCTGATGCCTGGAGCCCTGCAGATAGAGTCACAGATACAGGTTTGATCCCCATTGCCCTGACTCTACTTCAGGGCATGACTTTTCTGGTATTTCTGGAGATGGGTATCTTTTGTCTGTTTTCTTAAGACTCTCTGAGATATCTTCTTAGCTCTATGGGCTGAATTCAGGAGTTGGAGAGCCTTAGTAAGCTCCGATAATGCTTATTTTGTTTTTAACTTTGAATTTAGGAATGACCAACAGACCTGACCTGATTGATGAGGCTCTGCTGAGACCAGGGAGACTGGAGGTGAAAATGGAGATTGGTAAGCAAGCTAGGATATCGCAATATATAAGCTCACATGTACTTAGAATCATAAAGCAAATTATATATATCATAGTGTGAACAATTAAGCAGGATGGCATAGGTGCTAAACTTCATGCAGCTCCTTCCATAATATTACATGTAAATTTAATCAGCCAATTAAAGTGCCATTTTAGACTTACCTACTGATAACCTGTTGACCTGATGGTGGAGTCTAAAGGGTGGCCAGACTGTGGTGCTCAGTTCTGAGGTTAACAATTCCCAGAAGAATGTTTGAATAGAGAATAGCCTGGGACTGATTAAAAGCTTAATGATCCTGTCTTGCAGTGACAGACTCAAATTGGTTGAGATCTGTGTTTAAAGATTGGAAATGCAGTTTCAGATGTGTAGTCTGGAAGAGCTCATAAAACATTTTCCCCTAACCTTCCACAGACATGCAGATGTCACAAAATACTTTTTGCGCTCTGAGCTAGGCACCTACCATTGTAAAGGTAAAAATTCTCAAACTGTAGTGAGTCACAAAAAAGGAACAGGCAGGGCCATGAGTATTAATATGGTCTGTTTCCTTTCAATTGCAGAAAATCAGATGAAAATGTCCATATAACCCTAAAAATCATATGATATCATACTAGAGCAGCAGGCAAAATTGTAATTGTCTATGCTGGTCTGCACCGTGGGGAAACTCTTGAAATCTGATCTATCAATGTAATCTTAAGAGCTTGCTAGGGATTTTTTTTCTCTTATCCTTACAGGGTAACATCACTCTTTGAAAGAGCCAGAAACAGGAAAGAGTTTTTGTGGTAGCTGAAAAGGAAAGATTTTAGGCAAAAAGAAGGAATGAGGAAGTGAAGCTGATGACCTCTGAGGCAGCTGCAGAGGTAACCTGGGCAGGGAGCTGATGCTGATGCTCCAGAGCTGGTGCTGTCCTTGAGTACTGTAGGAAACGGTTCACGTGAGGCATTACTGCGCTGTAGCTCACGCGAGAGTGGGGACTAGAGATTCAGCTAGAGCACTAGCTGTGGAGCACAGACAGCATGGATGGCTTCAGATGTGCTGGAGACTTAAGAGACTGATATATTTGTTAGGTGCAGGAAGAAACAGGAGGAGACGTGTCTATTTCTGGCACAATACGCAAAAAAGGAAAATTGGGAAATAGCGGTACACAGAGAATTATTAGAAGTCAGTCTGACGAATAGTAATGAGAGAAAATTAGCATTGGCAAAAGCTGTAGCCAGGTAACAGTGTTTACAAGCTAACACAGCTACGAGGAATTGAAGGAAGGACTCAATAAGGAAAGTGTGTTTTAGGGATGAAGAAGCATAGCCACGATGACAGTTGCCTTTGAACAATCTCATACTTGAAAACAAATGCCTAATAGCAACTGTTATTAGTAAGCGCAGGTGACATTGATTGTATTGCAGGTGTAGTGCTTGCATCTTTAGTTGACAAAAGTTAATTAAATTAAATAAATTCTAGGGACTGAGCAAGACATTCCTAGAATAAGTTATCAGATGGTAAGGACTGAATGCTGCTGGGGACTATGCACATTTTAAAATGTCTTTTCACATTCCCTCGGCACACATACTAATCAGTGTAAATTGTCAGATCCTTGTAATAAAGGCTGTGAAGGTAGGTTGGAAAGTGAGCTAAAGAACAGCATGGCTTTACCAAGATGATGATGTGCCAGGCTGACTTGTTACGCTTTCTTTTACAAAAAGGCTTTTCTGTATCTTCCGCGGTATGCATTTTAGGAGGGACTTGCTAAGGGGCAAACTGGGAAATTATCACCTCAATCAGAGAAAATGAACATTGTATGAGAATGCTACGGGCCAGGTGAAGAGTAAAGTCAAGACCCTTAATTTTAGGAGAACGAACTTTCAGTTGATTAGGTAATTAGTGGATGGGACCCCCTGGGAAACTGCCCTCAGGGATAAAGGAGCAGAACAGAGCTGGCAGCTCGTTGAGGACATTTTTCTTACCACGCAAGAGCTCTTGATTCCCATGTGTAAGAAATCAGGCAAGGAAGGCAGGAGACCAGCATGGCTCAGTAAGGACCTCCTGGTCAAACTAAAGTGTAAGAAGGAAACGCACAGGCAGCGGAACGAGGGACATGTGTCCTGGGAGGAATATAGGGACACTGCCTGCATGTGTAGGGATGGGATCAGGAAAGCTAAGGCACAGTTGGAGCTGAATTTGGGAAAGGACACAAAGAATAATAAGGGCTTCTCAAGGCGCGTTGGTCAGAAAAGGAAGATTAAAGAAAACGTACGTGCTCTGGAGCGGGTCCAGAGGAGGCCATGAAAATGGTCGGAGGGCTGGGAACACTTCTCCTGTGAAGAAAGGCTGAGAGGCTTGGGGTTGTTCAGCCTGGAGAAGAGGAGGCTCCGGGGAGGCCTCCTTGCCCTTCAGCACTTACAGGGGCCTGTACGAAGGCTGGAGAGAGACTTTCTACCAGGGCCTGTAGTGACAGGACAGGGGCAACAGTTTTAAACTGGCAGAGGGCAGGTTTAGACTGGGTATAGGGAAGAAATGTATGATGGGCGTGGTGAGACACTGGCCCAGGTTGCCCGGAGAAGTTGTGGCTGCCCCATCATTGGAAGTGTTCGGAGTCAGGTTGGATGGGGCTTGGAGCAACCTGATCTAGTGACAGATGTCCCTACCCGTGGCACCGGGGGGTGGACTAGGTCTTTAAATTTCCCTTCCAACCCAAACTATTCTATGATTCTACAATTCTGTGATATTTACAAGGTGGGAACAGGGTTTGGGGATGGCAAGGGACTCACCAGATTGCCTTTGTGTAAGGTGAATTCCTGGAGTGGAAGCCTGAGAGCAACCAACTTGGAGGAACCCTGAGGAAAGAAACTAAGCGTTACGCTTTTTCTCTCTAGTTTAGCAGTGATGCTAATCATAGAATCATAGAATCGTTTAGGTTGGAAAAGACCTTTAAGATCATCCAGTCCAATCAATTTGCCGAGGGCAATTAGTGTAATTGAATGTTCTCAAACAAAAAGCATTGTCAAATACTCTACTTGTAAGAATGAATTGCTTGCTTGTGGTGAGAAAGAGCCTTTGGAGGTAGGACCATTGAGGAGAGGGAAAGGCTTTGCTGCAGTTGCTGTGCCGACGCACCGAATGACATGTGTTCTGTTTAAAATCTCAGGTTTGCCGGATGAGAAGGGTCGATTTCAGATTCTTCATATCCACACAGTACGGATGCGGGAACACCAGCTGCTGGCTGAAGATGTGGACATTGCAGAACTGGCAGTCGAGACTAAAAACTTCAGCGGTGCTGAATTAGAAGGTTTAGTTCGAGCTGCTCAGTCTACTGCTATGAACAGACACATAAAGGTCAGTCCTGTTGTCTCTCACCGGGGCAAAAAAAGGGAAAATAATTATGTTTGGAGTAATTTCCTGCATGTTTACTTCCAAATGAGTAATGGTGTCTCAGCATACCTTAGGAGATGAAATTCATGTGGACACCACCTTTTCACTGTGCTTTTACGTGGTTCTGAATTACCTCTTTCATCTCCTGACCTCCAAGTGGCTCTTGCGTAGCTCAGTGGGAATGGAAAGTGATTGTTTGTTAATGTGTTTTGATTAAAAACTGAAAGGAGACAAGAGGTGGAAGTGAGAACAGCCAGTCCTATGGGAGGGATCTCTGCTGGAGCCCATGCAGCTCAATATATTCGTAAATGACTGGTAAAGAGGGGAAAAGCGAGGTTACAAGCTCATAGCTGTTTTGTGGTCATAAAGATGAAGGCCACCTACGGAAAACTGCAGCAGGCATTTGAAATAATGTGAGTGCACAAGATATAGTCAGTGAATTTAAGCGTACGCTGGGAAGAGAACATTCAAAACGGTATAGGCAGTGATAGGGACAGACCTGGCCATTACTTGGGGTCAAGTTCTTGGAGTTACAATGATCTTGAAATATCAGCTCAGTCCTTATCAGTGAAAAAAGCAAATGCAACATTAGAATTTACTAGGAGAAGTATACAGAGCAAAAGTGAGGCTGTGATTATGTCATGGATAAAGTCCCTGGTATATTGGAATCTGTGCAGTCCTGGGACACCCACCTTGAGAAGGTTCTGGTAGAGCTAGGATATGGAAAGGCAGTAGGGAAGGTCAGAGTGTAGGAGGGTTTTCATTGGAAGAATGGTTAGGCGAGGATTTCTCAGCCTGAAGAAAACATGGTGAAGAGTTGTGAAAATTATATGAAGCCACGAGTGGATTGGAATCAGTGAGTGGGGAGTGCTTGTTTCCTCTTTCCTAATACAGGACCTCAGAGAACAGCCAATGATACCAGCAGGGCCATGCTCTAAGCTGTGGAAGGAACCTTTTGCTCCAAGATGTCGCTGATGCTAAATCTTGGTCGAATTCAGAAGGGGCTTGTATAATTTCTTCCATTTCAAATAAGAACTCACTTGATGATCGTCTCGGCGTGCATAGACTTGTAATGTTCTCAGCTCCCTCCATTCTAGAGGAACATTGCCTTGCTTTCCCAATGTTTGCTGATTATGGGAGGTCAGTGTGTCTTTAACTGGAAAGGAGTTAAGGGCCATGAAATGTCAGGTTATAATCCAGATGCAAAACGCAGTATTCGATGGCGTTGAAATATGAGATGATTAGTTCGTGAAGAAGGAAGCTCAAAGACTCAGCCCCTTTGCTCTGGTGGCCAAGAAAGAGGAAAGCCTTTGACATCAATTCCACAGCACTGGTATATTTTTAAGTAAAAAGTCTGTTCAGCTTTGAATATGAAGAAAGCAAATCATGCTTTCATTTAAGCGAGAGAAATCATTTGGTTGCTTAGACATTTGTGTCTCTTGGGAGCACTCTTTCTAAAGGAAAAATGGCTCTTTCTGCTTTTTTTTTCTTGTACAGCCACGATACTTGAAAAGCTATTAATTGTTTCCTATAGCAAAAACCCACAAACATCAACAGTTTCTCATTTTCTTGTGTTCTGTCTCAAAAAAAAAAAAAAATCAGCACCTCTAGAGGTATTTTCATCCCTTTGCAAGCAAATAATTTTTCTTAAATAATTAATTTTGCTTATAGTTGATGTTTTTTCAGTGCTTGAATTTTGGGTGAGTTTGGGGACCATTAGTGTTTTGATATATTCCCTGTTGTGCCAAAATGTCACAGTGGGAGAAGAGAAAATGGCAATGTATAAATGTAAGAGAGCAGTCCCCTCCTTTAGGTTGGTATGTGATTGACATCTTAATAATATATGTATGTATCTTCCAAATGTGAAGGAGCCACGCTTTGTTTTTCTTTTCAAACACTTTGACATAGTATTTTTGGATAATCTTATTGTTTATTCTGAAGATGTCTTCAGCCAAATGATGCACTAAGGTATTTTATTCTCTCCTACGAGTAGCGCAAAATTTAAAATATACATCATAGGCCTGACCTAGTTTTCAGAAGCACCTACAAGAAGCAAGAGCACAGATTGAAAATCAAGGGGCATTATTCTTCTGAATCATTTAAACTCTTCTGATAATCTCTCGAAGTGTGTGTGTGTTAAAAATTAAAACGTGTAACTCATTAAAGGCTAGGAAAGAAAGAAACCCCCTGATTTTAGGTGTACAAACAACTTCAGGAATATATCAATAGTGTTTCAAGTACCTTCACTTCCCTCTGCAAAGTAGAAGAGTGATGAGCCTGTATTAAAGATCCACTAGTTTGATATATTTGGCATCCTGTATTTCTGTTGGGTGGGGTTTTTTGTGAGAAGGGACTCCATCATTTCAGCCATCCTCTGGTTATAGTTATTTGTTTGGCACAGTGTTATTGGCCAGTCTGGGTTCCTGAGGTTGCTGTTTAGAGGCTGCATTTGCTACTCTACAAGACAAGCATAATGTGATTATTTGTATTACGATTTTTTCCTTCCCATGCTCACGTGCACTACTCCTTGTTCTTGTAGATTATCCTAGTCAGAAGAGAATGTCTCCGAGACACAGCTTTGAGGGTCAAAGCTATTTGACTCGTCCATCACCTTGGTCTTAGGCAAAGGTGATAGAGGTTGCTAATGCCTTTCAAGAAACCCCTTGAAATCCCAGATTTTTACCTCCTGAGCTATCGGATCATGTAGGGCCATTGTACTCTCGGGTGGAAGCAGGTAGTGTTGTAAGACTCTGATAACTTTCAATGAAAATTATACTGGTTTTGGAATCTAGAGAAATTTGTTGTGGTATAACTGGGAAATTCAGAAATTGTCCAAAGCCTTTCAAGGCTGCGCTTTGGTGCAAAAAAATGAAGATCTTTTGCCTCATCTCTATGCTGCTTAAAAATAGGTTTCTGCCTTACCGCTTACAGTTAGATGAATTGCTTTTTACAGATCAACTTCTGCTGCCTCTTGTGACTAATCCTTTTTCCGATATCTCTAACTCCACTTGGGATCCTCAGGAGATTGCACCCATAGGATTAGTATGTAATAGCCAGTGTTTGTATGCCGTTGAGTGGAAAAGTTGTTTCAAATCCATTTAATTCCCGATTGCTGCCCAAGGCAATCAATATACTTGCAGATCTACAAATAATCCTGGTAAATGGAGCCGTTCCATATTGCGGAGCTGCAGCCATACTCAGTAATACATCTACAGCTGTCTTTGAAGTCTACAGACATGTGAATAAAGTCTCCAGCTTTAAAGGCTACTCTCAAGTTGTTTTCAAGAACGAAAAACCTGTTCCTGCCCCAGTGTGAGCAGCTTCGGGCCACCTCCTAGTGGTACCTCTAGTTGTGATTGAGAAATGATTTACAAGAGAAGATTGCAGTAGTGCTGTCTATACTGTGTATTTGCTTCCAGTCATTAGCTTTTAAATGTTGCTGGACAGTCTGGGATTGGCGGAAGGGGAAAAGGTGATCCTTTCATTTAGAAAGGAGTGCAATATTAGCTGAGCTAACTGCAGCTTATTTATGCCAATTAACTCTGGTAGCGCTGCCTTGGGAAGATTCATGACTATGGTTGAACTGAGGCAAATAAAGACAAAGCAGAAAGAAATCTAATATTTACCAATTCCCTTAAAGACTTGCTTGTACGGAGAGGAAAGTGCATAGTTTGAATAGAAAACTAAAACCTCCTGAAACAGAGGTGCATGAACAATTCTTATTTTTGGCTTAGTTGCCAAAGATGCTGTGGTTAGATTCAGAGTTGGGTTAAACTTTAATTTGTCTTTCTGAAAAATTAGGCTTTATCCTCTTCCCACCCAGCACCCAGAAAGCATAATGAAGAATTTTTTTCTACAGCCTCTAAATGGAAAGAGTAGTTCCCTACTCTAAAGGGAACCTACATAACTCCATTAACTTTTAGAAATTTAAACTTAGGTGAGATCAGTCCCACATTGGGCACCAGTCTGAGCCTCACTGACACTTGGTTTATGTAGTCAAGTTAGCACAGCAGCAACAAGGATGGTGCAGAGCTTCCGTCCTGTTCTTAGCTGGGGTGGCTCCTCTGAAATGCGGGGTCATGGCCGTGCTCTTCACTTCAGCTTTCCACCCAGGGGAGTGAAACAACTGTTACTTCATGACTTCGTGGGGCTGGCGTATGGATGTGGTTCTGTGAAGATGATGATTGCTTCAGTGGTATCCAGCACATGTCCAACCAATGTGCGGTTAAGAAGCATTTTTCTTATTGACGCAGACTAACTCCAGGGTTGGATCCCTGGATGGAAGTCGATAAGGGGTTGTGTGCGGTAGTGCTGTATTTCAGTGTCTTTTATTGCCTTTATTAGGCCAGCAACAAAGTGGAAGTGGATATGGAGAAGGCAGAGAGCTTGCGAGTGACAAGAGGAGACTTCTTTGCATCTTTGGAGAATGATATCAAACCAGTAAGTAGGCACTATGTAACTCCTGTAACAGTCATGTTAATGACATGAGGTAGCAACTTCCTTCCGGGATCAGACATGCTACAGTGCACCATGGGCTGACATACTGTGTCCTGTGTTGTAGGAACGCAGGTAGGGAGCCTCTTTCTGCCTGCAGTGTTAAGGCTCTGTTTTGCACCTTTCGTTGCATGCAAGAATCATAAAAAGGAATAGAACAAATAAGGAGAGCAACTTGGGATTTCTTCTCCTTGCCATATGTACACTCTCCCTTTTAGGCTACTTCAGTTAATGGATGACAGCTTTAATATTGACTCTAGGAGGAGGTTTAAGCCTCATTTTTTGAGAATTGTCTTTAAATGGCGTGGATTCAGAAGCCATTGGCAACTTGTACTGGTTAGAATTTGTTTTGAGGGTACATGAAAAGATGTTTCTAAATGTGCGTGGTCTCTAACAACGTTCAGTCCTTTGAACTGAAACGTTGCGTGCCATCAATGGGTCTTCCAGTACTGACTGTCTCACTTAAGCATCTTCCAGAGTCTTGGTCCTGGTCACTTTGGTGATGTTTAATTGTTTCATGTTTTTCTGATGTGATGCAAAATTTATTAGTAAAATCTCTTAATACAGGCGTTTGGAACCAACCAGGAAGACTATGCAAGCTACATCATGAATGGTATTATTAAGTGGGGTGATCCAGTAACAAGGGTATTGGATGATGGGGAGCTGCTTGTTCAACAAACTAAGAACAGCGACCGCACTCCTTTGGTTAGCGTTCTTCTAGAAGGTAAATTCAAGAAAAATATATTTACAAAAACACCCAAGCGACTTCTGTGAACTCTTCCTATCAGTTGCCCAAGTGGTCTTCTGTTATATCCTGCAATTGTACGTAAAAGAAACATATGGGAGGAAGAATAGAATTGGTCTCTTTCAGTTCACTTGGATGAAATTGCTTTAGATACTAAAACTGGCTTCTCGGCCTCAGAGAAATCCTGTTTTTCAATAACGGAGAAGCAAATGTAGCCAGTTAATAACCTAAATGTGGATGTTTTACGGTGCGAACATCTCCAGCTGAGTTAGTTGTCTAAATTCTCTTTGAAGTCACTGGAGAGCTCATAGGTGTAATTAGCTGAGTTCAAACAGCAGTTCATCGGGCCACATCTAGGTGTGTGCTGTTACAGGGGTGGATTGCCCTCTATCTAGACTGTTATTGACTATGAAGAGTCTAGGAAACTAGTTCCAATATCTATGTTACAGATACTGGAATAGAATTTGTTATTTAGCGCTTCCCTCTTTCTTTTCCTGAAGTCAAAAAATGTAGATTACCACTATTGCTTAGTGGTATGTAGCTTTGAAATTAACCTTGAATAGATCCCCTGAATAATTCTGTGTGCTTGTGGCCAACGTATCGCTTGTGTGCAACACCTTCTTGCACTCCAAATTGATTTGTATCAGGTGTATAGATTAAGTTGTGTCTTTGGTCTCTGTTTGAATTATTCTGGTGTGAATTCAGGCAAATAACAAATTGTCTTTGTCAATATTTACCTGGCATTCATGCTGTTCACTTGTTTGCCACAGTATCTGCAGAAATCATATTTAGAAGGGGCATAAACATAGTTCAAGAAGTTTCTCCAAAATACAAACACATGCTAATTTTGGTGCAGTGGCCTGTCCTACAAAATGTGTCACGTCCTCTTTTGTACTGGCTTCAAGGCAAATGAGTCTGCATGTGCTCAAATAGTGCTATTAGTTTCCTTCCTCTGGAGGATTGGATCGCACTAGGAGTTAGCATGTTCCTTCTGCAAGTAGAAGAAAAGGTCATTTCAAAATGCAGATACCTCTGAATGAGATTATAAACATGCTTCAACTGTCATCCATGTTGAGCCTTACCAGAGCTGTTTTCTCCCTTGTTTTTGCATTATGTTTGTCTGTTGTTTCAGGTCCTCCCCACAGTGGGAAGACTGCTTTAGCAGCAAAAATAGCAGAAGAATCCAACTTCCCCTTTATCAAGATCTGTTCTCCTGATAAGATGATCGGATTTTCTGAAACGGCCAAGTGCCAAGCTATGAAGAAGGTACTTAAGCGTCCTACTCTTTTGCTTGATTACAGTCCAATTATGTTCTCTAGTGGACAGAAAAGTGAATTACCCTTGTGATTGTGTTCTCTGCTTTCTGTAGGTCCTACATTCCTATGCATATATTTATTTATAAAGTTGCATGACTGTTTTTGTGGCACTGACGCTAAGTGACTCAGGAAAGAATTCGAGGCTGTGTCCCCGTTGGGTCTGATATGTAGTGATGACTAACAGTGGAACAAAACACCTGATCTGTGATGAGCAAGTCTGGAGCTCTGTCTGCAAAGATGAAGGCAGGATGGGCTTAGGGTTGCACTTGGAAAGAATAGATCCTCCCTGAATGAGACTAGGAGCAGTTTTGAGGTGGTAAGGTTTACTTAAACAAGAGTTTTAACAGCTTGGAGGGCAGGGGGAATGCAAACAAGTTGAACATCTTAAATAATTTCAAGTAGCCAGGTGGAAGGAAGGAGATGTCATTTACTGAAGCAAGTGAGTACTTATTCTTCTAACTGAATGATACTGAATGAGGCATGTAAGTGAAATGTTACTCTAAGATTAGTTTGTTGTAGGATCGCATAGTTTCTAAGAGAAGCGATGTGCTCATCATAGCCGGAAGCCCAGTTTGTAATTTAGATTCAAAAAGGAGCCTTTTGGACTTCACTTGAATTGGCGTATGCTGGAGGTAGGCCTGCAGTACCACTGATGTCCTTAGTGCTACTTACTGTTTAAATCCAAAGCTTTGCAGGACACTGGTGCTGCTCTATGAAGGGTGATGTGGAGGCTCGATCCCTATGTGAGTAGGTCTGTTCTCCCTGCAGTATGCTGTTATGAAAAGTAACCAACATCCAGCCTGGGTAGAAAAGCTTCATAATTGCATTGTTGTGGGGGATTGGTATGTGTATTGCTGTATTATTTTGGCTGACAGCCAGCTGAACATGAGCCAGCAGTGTGCCCA